TACTTGCGTCTCAATTCAAACAAAACCCTAGCTAATGCCAATTTTCTTGTGGTTTAATGTGCATAGGAGCGCATACGTTTGGACGTGGAAATTGTGTAACCTTCAACAATAGACTATTCAACTTCAACGGGACAGGTAATCCCGACCCGACTCTGAACTCGACACTTCTCAGCAGTCTTCAACAGATTTGCCCTCAAAACGGCAGCGGATCGGGTATCACCAATCTCGACCTGAGCACGCCTGATGCGTTCGATAACAACTACTTCACCAACCTTCAGAGCAACAATGGTCTTCTGCAGTCCGACCAAGAACTGTTCTCTGATACTGGTTCACCCACCATCGCGATTGTTACTTCCTTTGCAAGTAACCAAACTCTGTTTTTCGAGGCCTTTGCTCAGTCCATGATCAAAATGGGGAATATAAGTCCCTTGACGGGGAGTAGTGGAGAGATTAGACAAGATTGTAAGGTGATTAACGGACAGTCAGCCACTGAAGCAGAGGACATTCAGTTACAGTCGGACTCGGATCAGGAAGCAGTGAGTTTAGCAGATATGTGAAAGATGATGAGACTAGTTTCACCGTTTGTTTATCATATATGTATAATTACTCGTAAGCTTTGTCATTATTCATTTTCGTTAAAAAAAATGAGTGATAGCCTGGTAGAGCTGTGTTTTACAATTATGGGATTTTAATTATTTCAAACCCTTTATAGTTTTGCTAGATATATGGATGTATCACATCGAATATAATATTTGTTTTGTTGTCTAACAATTTACATGCATTCTACTCCATTTAAATATAGATGATGATACATCGACGAAATTGACGTTTAATAATATTATAGTGTCACTTATGGAGAAAATTATAGTAGACTCATGAGAAATTAATAGAAGTACGGCGAAGTGGTTGGGACTTGGGATTTTATTTCAGATTTGGTAGCAACTATTATAAAATGATAAACAATATTCAAATTGTTTTCCTTAGGTTTAGCCGTTTAGGGTATCATTTTTTTTGCATTATTATCTATCAAATAATGCATCGTTTTTTTTAATTATACTTCTTCCGTTTCAATACATGTGTTGTTTTGGAAGAACTTTTTTGTTTCAAAATAAGTGACAACTTAAAATTTTAATATAATTTGTTATCACAAATACTTAGTTTGATCATAGTACTGTACTGATCATGAAACTAAAAGAAAATTTTAAGAAGAATATGCTTTATAGGGGCGTAATTGTGTGTTATAAGTTCTTTCTAAGAGTCACAATCCATATCACCGTCACTCAAAAAATACTGGAGCTAGTCATGCATCTTTGAATGTTTACTCTGCAAAGTTAACGTCAAAGGAACATCTCCAAAAGTCTCGTCATTAAGACTTTTGGAGATTCTTTATCAAAATCAGTGAAGTAACACAGACTCATTATAAAACACTGAATTTTGAATAATCTATTTTTGTTTTCTGAAAATACAGCTGTAAAACTCTAGCTAACAACTCTTGAAGGAAGCAGTTCCACAGAATGTGACTTAATTTGTCTAATTCTGTAGACCAAATTTTGTAGACCAAATTTTTAAGAAAAAAAAACTATCTAAAAATCTGCGTATTTCTTGTGAGAATTCAGATCCTCGTTCACATTCTCATGGTTTTGTCCTTGTTTACATGAAGTCTCATGATTAAACATGGAAATTTGAATGCATTAATTAAAGATGTTTGCTATATGATTTTATTTGGAGATTGAGATATGGTTACATCATGTTTCAATTGTTAATGATAGAAAGAAGAAAGAAAAAAAAATGGATCACCTTTGACGACCGATTTCGTCTCAAGAACGCAAAATATGATATATTTGTATATGCTATCTATGAATTTCTTTACTAACCGCGTGGGAGGATTACAATAATACAAGTGATGGAGATGGTGTAACCTAAAGAGTAAAGACAAATAACTTTTAACTAAAGAAAATGTAGAAGCACCAGCTTTTTTCTACTTTTTTGGACTAAGTATACAAACACACACGTTAATCTAGTTATTGGCTTAATTTAAAATCTTTCACTTTCATGACCAGTCAATAAATACGCGTTTAATCAACTTTTCCTCCCTATATATATATAACGATTTCAAAATGATATGGAATAGTCATAAGCTCCGCACATTCAAAACTAGTTATTTCCAAAAAAAATAATTCATGGCTGTAAAAAATCCGTCTATTACTTGTAATGGCTTCTCCATTATAATCGTCCTCACTACTCTTGTCATCTCTTCTTCATTGTTTTGGACATCATCTGCGCAGTTAAACGCAACGTTTTACTCCAGGACGTGCCCTAACGCCTCTGCCATCGTACGCAGTACTATTCAGCAAGCTCTTCAATCCGACTCGAGAATCGGAGCCAGCCTTATCCGCCTTCATTTTCACGACTGTTTTGTTAATGTATATAAATCTTTATGATCAATACAGCTCTTTTAACGTGAAAAGCCTAGTGATCATTTTCGCCTAAGCCACTATACTTTTTCTTTCTTATGTTTGTAAAAAAGGGTTGCGACGCGTCGATCTTGCTTGACGATAGTGGAAGCATCCAAAGCGAGAAGAATGCTGCCCCGAATGCAAACTCGGCTAGAGGATTCAACGTTGTCGATAATATCAAGACTGCCCTTGAGAACGCTTGCCCCGGCGTTGTTTCTTGCTCTGATGTTTTAGCTCTTGCCTCAGAGGCCTCGGTTTCTTTGGTAATAATACTTTCTTAATAAGACATATCAAACAGTACATATGTTAACTGTTCACATTCATCTATCTGACTTTACATGTTTGATCATCTTTAGGCAGGAGGGCCTTCATGGACTGTATTATTAGGCAGAAGAGATAGTCTCACAGCAAACCAGGCCGGGGCAAATTCGTCCATTCCTTCTCCCGTCGAAAGCCTTGCCAACATCACATCTAAATTTTCAGCTGTCGGGCTAAATACCAACGATCTTGTAGCCTTATCTGGTAAAAATCATCTACGTTAACTTATGGATCAAGTCAAAACCAAACCCTAATACCATCTCTTGTGAATTTCTTTTATCTACGTAGGTGCACATACGTTCGGACGTGCTCGATGCGGAGTGTTCAGTAACAGACTAATCAACTTTAGCGGGTCGGGAAATCCTGACCCGACTCTAAACACGACGCTTCTCAACAGTCTTCAACAGATATGTCCTCAAAACGGCAGCGGATCGGGGATCACCAATCTCGATCTGAGCACACCTGATGCATTCGATAACAATTACTTTTCCAACCTTCAGAGCAACAATGGGCTTCTTCAGTCAGACCAAGAACTGTTTTCTACCACAGGCTCAGCCACAATCGCGATTGTTACTTCTTTCGCAAGTAACCAGACTCTGTTTTTTCAGGCATTTGCTCAGTCCATGATCAACATGGGGAATATAAGTCCCTTGACAGGGAGTAGTGGAGAGATTAGATTAGACTGTAAGAAGGTTAATGGAAGTTAATTTTTTTAAAAAGTTCTTTCTTTTTTGTTTACTCTGTGGGCAAGCTTCCTTAAAATTTGATTCTACGAAATTTAAGCACTTAAGATATATTTTGTCTTCAGATCTTTCAAAAAAAAACTAATGTTAATTGATTGCGATGTCAATTCTCAAATCTGCAGATCACCACTCTGCAATGTCAAATTTCTATTTTTAGAATTGCATTGTCAAAATTCAGATGTACTAATTATTGACTTTTGTGATAAAATAAACCATTTAAATTATCAGCACGATTATTATTCGCTTTACTACACGGTTATGCATATTCCTGTAGTTTTGAAGTAATTATAGTTTTCGATTTTTAGTTCATAGTTCGTTTATATTAAGCTGTTTATTTTTGCGTATCTAAAACATACTTTTAATCCCATGAGTAAAAATATAAGCAAATTAATACCTTGAATTCCTCTGTTTCTATTTTATTCCACGTAGTTTCAAGACTGAATATGTTCATATCCTTAGCTATTACTACTCTTTAGTTACATTTTATGGATGTTTTTCTAATCATTTGATTATTCTGGAGGGGGACATGTAGAAAATTCTTCTCTTTCGTTAAAAAAGATCAGCTTTTTATCTTGTGGGCTCTGACAGCGAATTTATCATTGACAAATTATTTACGAATCACCAAACAATATTGACAACAAAAACCGTCCAACATGTATACCGAATTATCAACCATCATGACAGTCCTTGTGGAATGATTTCACCGACAAATGATAATTAACATTTGAAATTTTAGGGCGAGACAGAAAATAATTTGATCGGGCTGATTTTGCGGTCAAGATAAAGCGGACCCGTTCCACGCCAAACTTTTAAATACGAATGTACTTCTCTTTTGAGTATTAAGACTTTAAGAGGTTGTAAATATTTTGGTAGTATACCATTGATCAATTTATGTATATACTACATTTAAAAAAAAAAATTCAAAAAAAGGAAATGGCTATTTTTGTTAGAAATTAATACTAAATATATAATTACCATATGAAGAATGTTTTTTTTTTATCAATTCAACTTATATATAAACGATAGAACCAGAAAGAAACGAGGCCTAATGATCTGAGGTTAACAAGTTGACTAAAACTACAGCTAATTTGGAAACATAGGTCAAATGGAATGAGTTCTATGTGCGGTTTGGGTTGAGTGTAAGGTTACCCATTTGGTTTTTAGTTGACTAGGGTCCATGACTTGAGGTTAATGTTTAAAAAAAATTAAGATACTACTTTTTACTTAAAAGCTATAAAATAAGAATTGATTCCAGTTTAGTGCTATGTAGATCATAGTATTTGTTAGTCGAATGTAGTAACTTATTTCTACTAGATGCACTAAATCGACTATTGTAAAAATTGACATAAAGCTAAAAGTCTTCTACTCTTTAGTGATATTTGTAGTTAAAATAGTCTCAACATTCGGTTAGTAACTTTAAACACTCGAGTATGACAATAATATATGCCTATAAGAGAAAAGAATGAAGATAAACAATGAAGAAATGGAAACACTCGAGTGCCCTTTCTCAAAAGAGATATGGAAAACTTTGGTTGGTGGAATTTTGGAAACAGACTTCACGTCAACTTGGTCAGATATTATGGAGCTCATGACTCAACCTTCTCTAAACCCCACCGTAGCTTTCATCCTAAGATACGCCTTCCAAGCAGCAATTCACGCAATCTGGGGTGAAAGAAATGGAAGGAGACACGGAGATGACCCTGCTCCGCTTGCTGTCATTGCAAAGAAAATTGACACTACAGTTCGTAACAGACTAAGCACAATCAGAAGTGAAGGAGTGATGAAGCAGGAAGCTGGATTGAGGATTTGGTTTGCTACAAGGAGAGCTCCTTAATAAACTCTGCTCTAAGTTAGATTTTCAATGCCAAAAAACGATCTAACAAAGTTGTAAAAAAGTTTATTTTTTTTCTTGAATATAATTTAACATTTTATCAAAAAAAAAACAATGAAGAAATGCACAAAATAAAAATAGAATTAGTATTGTAGCATTTAACGGGAGACTTAATTTTTAAGAAAGAAGAAAAATTGGGTCCAATGAACAAATGATTGCTTGTGTAGAGATTTGCCTCTTCTCAAGCAAAACAAAAATGACCCCACAGTCACCGGTTCATCAATTTAATCCATCGCAAATCGCTCTGTTCATCATTTACTCAAACACAATCATTAATACTTCCTCAGGCGCGTTGTCACGTGACTCTCCCCTCTTCAACTCCATTGTCACGTGCTTCTTGCATACTCTTTTGCTAAATCGGATACTTTGAAATTTACACTTTCTAGATTGCAAAACTGAAAGTTTTTTTTATTATTATTATTATAGGTAAGATTAAGGTTCGTGCTTTGCTTGGGACAAAATAGTATCTGATGTACCATGTAGAATCCTAAATTGTGTTAAAGTGAACGGGTTTATATATATTATTATCCCTAAAACAAGTTATTCGTTGCATAAATATACAAGATACATTATATACATCCTTTTTTAAAAAAAAATGATGTACATAGGATACTCCAAGAAAAAAATGCAAATCTGTTTAACAACATTGGTGTTTAATTTGTTTATATACACAATCATATATAAAACATAAAGGGAATTCAAAGTTAAAATAAAAAAATATATATAAAGGGAATTCAAATGTGTAAAATAGGATGCAATAATTAATCTAGCAGCATAGAGAGGAGATAAATAATTGAGAGAAAGATTGAGATGGCAAAAATATTAGACATGGTAACAATAATAGATTAATAGCAATAATAAGAGTATGCATGACTTCAATTATTGCAAGGAGCCTAAAAGCATGACACCCCAATCTTTTGTTTGAGGCGCGTCCCACGCGTGTGGGTCCTTTCACTCTCTATTCATGTCTTAGCCATAAATTTTGGAAATTCTAGGAAAAAAAAAAAACTAAATTCTCTAAAAATCATGTTACGAAATAGTGAAGAGGAAACATGTCGCTATATACTATATTTGTAATAGATTTGAGAATAAAAAATATTGTGTAATAATGAGCGGCAGATATTGCTCCTTATATTTTGTTTCTACTGGTATCAATCTGCCGACTAATAGCCATCATGATGAATCGAACTATAATGTTATAGATTAAGATATGCATCAAGTATTTTCGACATTATAAACCTACTATTGCAGCCTTGCAGGGCATATAATTTCTGAGTCAACTCCTGTGTAACCAAAAAGAATCATATTATGGAGGAAAATGAGTGCAAACTAACGTATAAAAAAGTCGTAAGCACTTACTTTGGACAAAACTCATATCAAAATAAGGGTTCACATCCCAGAAGAAACTTAGAAACCTTAACCTTTTATTCCAGCAAAGGTAATTGTTTTCTATTTTGTATTTAACACACAGAAGAATTGAAGAAACAACAAAATCTGTCATTAAAACATAATGTAATTATTTTTGATAAACAACATAATGTAATTGGTTGGTGATAGAACTCGTAAAATTTTGAAAATCAATACATATCGAAACATCATTCATGCGTTGACTAGTCCCATATCTTGTTAAAATCCAAATATGAAAATACAACTTCTTTTTCTGTTATGACATCAAATACAAATATTTAAGTTTGGAAATATTTAGATTTTTGTAATGTGAATTTGGAGCTCGTAGAAAGATAAAATGATGGTTTTAATTATAAAACTACAGAATTACATGAAAATAACAGAAATATGTGCATAATAAAATTGGTAAATCATTAACAAAAATAATTATGTGGCTGAAAAACTGTAGATCGACAACATTTATTCTATTTTGGTCGGCAAATACAGTAAACGAAATGGCAATATCGTCGAATTATTCTGATTTTTAATATTTTTTAAAAAATTGTATCAATTATCAATCAACCCCTACAAATTCTAGTAATTATTGACATGGTACTATTTGAAACCAACTATCATATCTCACATGTTACCATGCATACACATAATAGTGAAACTATTTAATGTTTAGAACTTTTCTTGACAGCAACTTGCAATAAGTTACAAATAAGTTAGAAGTAATGGAAATTGTATTCATGATGTTGGATAAGAACACATTAATCAAGTTTTTCTATGACCATCGCCGTATTGACTAAAGTTTTGAGCCCATAAGAATTTTGGTCAAACTGAAAAAGAAAAATGGATTGAGTGTTTTCGTGACCGTTTGATGGGTCATCGTTGTCACATTTTAATTCTTTTTATCATTAAGTATCATCGTTAATCATTATGTCTTGTTCACCCTTTTTATTCGGTAAATATTAGAGCACCATTTTCATGAAACATTCCCTTCTATGTAGTTTATATGTTCCAACTTAATCATGAGTCTATAATGCTTAGTTAAATCATTTGCAGCGGCAGCTCTGATTCTATAATTTTTTTAAAAAAGGAGAGAATCAGCATTAAACGGTAACTACGTTGTCAACCGTCACTATGTCCTTTTTTTACTTCCACTTATTCATATTTTTCCTTTTCTTCCTCAACAACTTCGACTTTTCTGTTAAATCTCTTAAAACTTAAGGAATTCAAAGTCGCCATCATTAACGTGTGACCAAAAATTACGCTGCCCGGTCAAAGTAATTATGGTCTTCAATAGTTTTCAGCAAACAGTCTAATATCTTCAAAAAATCACTAATTCTTTAATAGTATCGTCTATCCAAGATGATTAATTAGGTGGTAAAAACCCTGAGTATCCTTTATCATATAAAATAAAAAAAACAGAGTATAATCCAAAAAACCATAATTGAATTAAATGTAAAGAAATTACCTATCTATTATAATTTCAATTTTCACACTATCTGAGAATTTGCCACCACTAAAACCTTCTGAAATACATATGGTTGTTATCTTTTGTGTTTGGAAAGTATTTTGAAATGGAAGAGTTGCATATACCAATTTGCTAATTTCGTGATTTTTTTTTTGGTTTTCGTGTAGAATAAAAATTTACTATATTATTACCTCAAGACTCTAGCTTCATCTCGAAACATAAATGCATATTTGTGTATAAAGTAATATAATACGGAGTAACATAAACACAAAAGGCGCCAGTCTCGTGTAATAAGAATGAGGTATATATTTATATGCATTCACGTGCGTCTGTGAAAATCGGCAGTTGTCGGCCAATCCCCTTAACTGTATCTCAACCCCAAAATACCACATTTTTCGGTATAAAAATTTCATTATATATATTAACAAAAATGAAAAAAAAAGCTATTGTATGTTCTCTTTGGTTGAGAGTAGCTTATTATTTTAACAGGTTTCGAGACATACTCTTTTTATATATATATATATATATATGACACGTTTTACGTAGATTAAAAACTTTCTTATCTATATTCAATTAGTAATTAAATGGTAATATGTGAAATGAAAATTATTAATTTCAGTTAAAAAGTATAAACATTGAAAATGTGAGAAAATATTTCTTAAAAAAACAACTCAATTTGTGAAACTCAAATTAAATGATATTATTATTTTAATATCGTTAAATCAGAATTTACAGGAAGAAGATCCAAAACTTCTACATCTATACAATTACTATTATTAAATTAGATTGAACTTGGTAATAAATAAGTGGGGTTTCACTTCATTTCATGTCATGCCTCCATAAGCCAAAAAAGATCTTCGTGTTCTGTCTTTCTCTCTTTCTCTTTTTTGGTTTTTGACTCAAAACTGTTATTTTCTTCGTAAGAGATGGAGCTAGCGTTATGTCTAGGCGAAAATACGAACAAATTATCTTTTTTGGAGAAGCCCTCAAAGATTAATAATCCCTCTGCCTCGTCGACCTCGACTTCCGACAAAAATCGTGGGTTCTGCATGAGTTTAGATGTTGGTTTTGATGGTCACAAATCGTTGTCACCCTCTTCGTTATCTCCGTCGTTAGAAGATGAGAAGAAGAAACTGGCACCGAGAGCAAAGAATTCTGATGGAATTAGGGTTTCGTCTTCCGTAGATCCGTCATTACAGCTTCAGCTTCACTTTCCTTGGCTCCCTGAGAACAGTAAGGGTTTCAGTTTATAAACAAAAAATATGGCATAAGATCTAATTTCTCGTAAACAAATGGTGTAGTACTTATACGTATACCCAAACGATACCCATTTTTTTCTCACAAAATAGCATTTGAAATTTATTATTATCCCTAATCTGGCTTACATATTTTTTCTTCTTCTTATATTTATATGAATATAATTTTGTCTACAATATATATATATATATATATATATATATAGTACTTATTGTAGCTAGTGTGTCGATGGGATGTAACTGAAATCATTTTCCAAAAATGTTGTGACTGATTTGTGACAAGAGAAAAGAACTAGGTTCTATTGAAACATATTTACTAGAAAACAACATAAATAGTGGATGTTAATTATAAATTACAAGATTATTCGGTTTCTTCACATATTTGGATGATTAGTGTTGACTTCGGTTTAGTGGAAAAAAGAAACAGTTTTACTTATAGAAGAAAGAACCAAAATTACAGGTCGGCAAGGAGGAAGAATGCTCCCAGTAGCAGCTGAGGTGGCGGAGGAGGAAGAGGAGGAGGAGGAGGAGGAGGAGGCGGTGCCTAGTATGTCACTGTCGCCACCCAATAGCGTAACGTCGTCGTTTCGGTTGGACTTTGGTATTAAGAGTTATGGTTATGAGAGAAGAAGTAATAAGAGAGATATCGATGATGAGGTTGAGAGATCTGCTTCAAGAGCCAGCAACGAAGACAACGATGACGAAAACGGAACCCCAAGGAAGAAACTAAGACTCTCTAAAGACCAATCTGCTTTTCTTGAAGACAGTTTCAAAGAGCACAGCACCCTTAATCCTGTTCGTTTCCCATTATATATTGATCTTTACTTTTTTGTAATTTGTTATTACTTGAAAGGAAAAAAAACCCTAAGCTTAACTTTTATTGTCTATTTTTTTTTTAAACTGAACATTGCAGAAGCAGAAGATTGCGTTGGCGAAGCAGTTAAATCTTCGTCCTCGCCAGGTTGAAGTTTGGTTTCAAAACAGACGAGCCAGGTTAGCTTATGTCATTAACACATCATTAAAAAAGCTTCATTTTCTTTTTTTTTATGAAACGGTTTCTATTTTTTTGTGGTTGGAAATATAATTTTTTGTGATGATTAATTTCTGAAAAAAGGAATGAGGACGAAATACACCACGAGTAATAATAACACATTGTCGCATGTCTGTTCTTGTCATTTTTCGTGCAAAAGTAGAATATCACTTCTGCTCATCATTTCCATATATAATTGCTTATACTAACCTATGTATAAAAAGAAAACAAATCATAACTCTTCTTTACAATTTCGCAAAAATGTAATAACTACTCTTCGTGAGCTTGGTACAAACATGAAAATCGGATGATTAAAAAAAAGATTTTGTTAGAAATAGGATAGTTCGACTTATTTTTTTTGAAACGATCGTTGTTCCTTTCATCAGATGTCTTCATGATGATCATATGTATTGTTCAGATGTCTTCATGATGATCATATGTATTGTTCTCTCTCTCATTATTTCAATTGACAAAAATAAAGATATATACACATAAATCTCTCCGAATTTATTAATATGGTACATCTAGGAAAAATGTAAAATATCTCTACAACAGCTTAAAGACGTTGCCAGGCATTTGTTTTGTTTTTTATTAATGTTTCCATGCATTAATCACCATTTTGTTTGGAAAATTAAAGTGCTAAACAGTTTCTTTCTAATTTCCTTACAAAAGCAAATTATTTCTCTAATTTTTTTTTTTTGCTATCTGTTCAAATTTCCCTAACATTTATCGTTTTGCAAATCAATTGCTTACATATATTTGAGCAACATGGGTTTTAACATTGGATAGTTATCTTATGTATCGGGGGCTATATTATTTAAATTGATGAATGAGAATTATATAGGACAAAGCTGAAGCAAACGGAAGTGGACTGTGAATACTTAAAGAGATGCTGTGAGTCACTAACCGAAGAGAACCGAAGGCTTCAGAAAGAGGTTAAAGAATTGAGAGCCTTGAAGACGTCTTCTCCTTTGTACATGCAACTTCCGGCCACCACTCTCACTATGTGCCCTTCTTGCGAACGCGTTGCCACCTCAGCACCACAGCCCTCCACGTCAGCTGCACACAACATCGGTTTGTCCACATCATCATTTCACAGTCCTTTGATTCCGGTTAAGCCTCGACCGGCCAAACAGGTGTCATGAAAGCAATTGCGAAATAAATGGTTACCGTATTCACCAATACAGTTTGAGCAAATGGTCGAGTGGTAATTGAGTCTTCTTGTGTATATTATAAGGTTTATTTTCCATAATGTTTGGGACCGTCTCCTATTTTGAAAGACGACTAGACCGAATTATCCGGTTAGAGTTTTGTTTCTCTGGATCTGTTTTGGCATTGTGTTTCTTTGGATAGGACTGAGTTAAAAATAGGTGGAGGAAAAGGGTTTGACATGTTTATTTATTGAGCGAAAGACAAATTTTATTTAAAAAAGAAAGACAAACAAAAAGAAAAAAAGGAAAGAAACAAAAAAATGGTTTGATCACTTTATCTTTTGTAAGCTTCTATATTTCTAATTTAAGCAAAATGGTTTGAGAGCAAAATAGCGTTGAATAATTCGTCATAGATTTTCATTGCAAGATTGTGGTGATTTTGCAACGAAATTCTGTTTTGCAGAAACCAGAAAGTTTATTGGCAACCAGTTTTTTGTTTTTTAAATAAGAAAAGTAAATTTTGTACGGGTGAGAGAGAGTCTCGTGCGGCGTACTTCAGATATTATATCCAGTTTTTGTTCAGTTTAAGCATCCGTAATCTTACTTTCTACACAAACATAAACACATACTGTCTCTGCTTTTCCCAATCTCCAACCAAATTAGTCACATGTTTTAACTCTTCAAATCAAATACAGAATTATAAATAGGTTACAGGTACGCCACGTGGCGAACAACTGCACCAGGTTGGATCCAATCGCACTGAACCACTCATAAATAAAAGCATTTGACCTAACGGAAAGACCTTCGTGGTCAAAAAGTCCAAACATCCCCATGTGAATGCGTCGTGACCAAACCCAAGTTGTCTTCAGATCCTTATATTATTTCCCGAAATGGACAAATTTATATTAATGTAATTGTCGGTGATCGACAAATTACATTAACATTTTCCGTAAACCTCAAACCTTTTTTTTTTATTTTACGAAAGAACACTGTTATACTTCCTACACACCAAGAAAAAAAAGCCATGTTCTATTTAGATCATCAAACATAGCTAAAAACGATTATTGGAAGTAAAACATTGATCAATACTATGTAACCTCTCTCTTTGAGAATAATCGTAGTGTAGTGAGTGACAAAAGCATTTACAACCAAGCAACGACATCCAAGTAAATCATATTTTCAATCTTCTTTTTTTACTCTACACATTCTATAATCAACTAAAACCATCAAAGCATCGAAAGATCAAAGTATTGAGGAGATAAGACCAAAAAAACCTTTTTTTTCCTAAGGTTTCCGTCGTGCTTGGCCAAGCTGGTTGAGTTTGACGAGTAGCTCGGCGTAGAGGATCTCGTTCCAAGAGTCGGGAACTCCAGGGAGGCACCAATGGCTGCAGTCTTGATACAGCAACGGCGTTCTTTTCTCCTTTTCCGATAAGCTATGTTTCCGGTACACTGAAGGGTGTCCGTCTTTCCTGTAATCCGTTAATCTGGTGATGTTTAGATACGTGACGGGCGTTCTCATTCCCCTTAACACTCTCTCTAGCACCTTCATTTTCGAAGGGTATGGGGTTAGGTACGTCTCGTTCTTGATTGGTTCTGTTTCGCTATCGCATGCTCCTCCCGAGTTCCATTGCCCACCACTTCAAACAAGACAGTTCCAAAAGTTTCAGAGATTCTGATCGGTTCAAACATCAAAACTGTTGAGACCCTTAGATTTTGTTTACCTGAAATGTGAAGCGGAGTAGCCACGAAAGAAAACAAGGGACTTGTCTGGATTCACATTCTTCTCAACCCATCTACCCCATGTGGTCAAAGCTTTACGGAAAGCTTCAAGTACAGCGAGTTCGTGATAGACATTGCTTCCTTCTTGATAATAATCCTCCCTTTTTAAAACCAACACCAACATATCAAGTTTCTACATTACAATACCAACTTTCCTTGTAGATTGAGAGAGATTTTTTACCCTTTGGATGTTTTCTCGTGAGTCCACCAATGTCCGGTGTTGAAGATGATAATATCAGCTCCTTTGTACTGCTCAGACGACTTCCCGACCAAATCCAGCCGTAGAGTCTCCTTCTTCGTTCCCTTCTTGTCAACAATTTCCGTTTCTTGGACCAAGAAAGGTGAAACAAAAAACTCCACCGTGCAATTGTAATCCTATCAAATCAAGAAACCTTGAATCAGAAAAACCATCAACAAGTATTAAAAAAAAAAAGGCAAATGAATCGAGAAGCCATTACTTGGAAGACGAAGGAGTACTCAGCCTCCCCACGAAAATGATGTCTTCCACTAGCCTCATAGACTTTGCTCTCATCTTTCACTGATCCTTTAAGAATACAAACCAGAGATTCCCACATGTTCCTATTTAGAGAATCCCCAACAAACACTAGCCTTCTTCCTCTAAGCATCTCCAGCAAAATACCTCCATTTAATCTATTATTAGAAATGAATGTGGTGGTTTCAGATTCAACGAGCCGCCACATAATAATTCTATAAAATTCAATTGCAACATACGTAAGCAGATAAAAATTCAACTAACGTACGGTACCTTGGTAAACTACATTTCTTAGGTTTCCACTTCAATTTCTGGAAACCTTTATCGGGTCTTCCGTTTGAAATACAATTGAACTGTTCATCAATCAGCTTACACGAACCGGGTTTGTAGAGCGGATACGAATCATCCTTAATCCATTCACCGTCGAAGAACTCGCAGTCTTTCAGAGATTCACTCCATTTCTCCATCTCTTGTTTCACCGAAGTCACCAAGCCACCGTTTCCGGTTTGTTTTTCCGGCGTAGAAGGAGCTGATGAGCTGGAATTGGCCGTCAGGTTCACCGACACGGGTGCTTTCGACGGCGCCGGAGCTGCTGTCTTCTGGTTTCGAGCGGCATCGGTGGTCAGTGACTGATTACTCGATCCCGTCGGCGATTTATCTGGAAGCAGAGGATGAGAAGAAGTGTTGGTTTTGGCAACCGGGTTGGTTCTGTTTACGATCGGAGACTTAAAGGTCGAGTTTTTAGCAATCGGAGTGAGATTTTCCGGCGCCGGAGCTTGCAAAGTACCGTTTCTGATGGTATCGGAGACGGAATTCGAAGTGGGAGAAGACGGTGAAGTGGTGTTTACAGGGATAGGCTCTGTGAAATTCGACGTGGCGTCGCTAGATCTATTGGTGGGTTTCGTTAAAGTGACATTGGGGATGATATAGGAGAAGATTGAAGAGAAGTGAGATCCGGAAGTGTTGTCTGATGAAGGAGATGTGGTGGAGGAGGAAGAGAAGATGTTAGAGAACCAAGGGGAAGAAGAGTTTGGAGAAGGACTAAAGGCAAAGAATAGAGTGAAAGCGACGAAAGTGATTACAAAGGCGTAAGCGAAAGTTGAGGTTTTTCTCGGTTTCACGGCGGAGAAGAAGCTCTTGATCTCGGCTGCGGCGGCGGTTGTTGTTGTTGTTCCGCCGTGAATCGGCATATACTTTACGGCGTCCGACGCCATAGACGGAGAGGGAGAGGCACAAATTTGTAGGAATATGGTGTGGTGGAGTTCGTGGGCGCGTGAAGAGTGTTTTTTGGTGGTTTAGAAAGAGAGAAATAATGCTTTTGTTTAGGGTTAGAGAGAGAAACAAGTGCAGAGATGTGTATGAAGGAAAGACATGACTTTTTTAGAAACAAGTGAGAAAGGGGTTAAGAAGATAATAAAGGGTCATTTGTTTAGACGACACCGTTAAAAGAACATGACTTAAAGTAGAGATTTTTCAATTAATTACCCCTCGGTTTTATTATTAATTACGGAAATACCACTTCAAAGTGCGTGTCGGTGGTTCGAGATTCGATTTCCTTTTTTTCTATTTCCTGTGGACTCAGGTTCGACCCATGAAGAAGAGTTTGATAAATGCTTATGGATCCGGATTTGGATGTCGTGATTTAAATGTTATGTTTTCTATTATTGAGGAGGATTTACCATATTTTGGATTACCAAATTTCCCTATATTTTTTGCATATAGGAGTTTTTACATATTTTATTAGGTTAATTGTGTGATAGCTAGACTGTATAGCCCTCCTTAACCCTGTATAAACTATGCAATTGTCTTTCCATTTACATTTTGATAGCTCTCTTATGTAAAAGACAGTAAACTATGCATATAGAAAGTAACCTTAACAAATGTATGTAAAATTGTAAATAAACATCTCATGATTCTCATCTAACCATGGCTTTATGTGTTATACGACGAGAGTCGTTGATTTTTAATATACAGAAAATGTTTTGTTCATATGAACATGTTTTGGTATTTGTGGAAGCAAGAAGTATGGTAAGATTTAGGAATAACTCTTTGCTTTTTTTGTGAAATAACTAGATGAAGAATTTTTAGAGGTAATTTCAGATGTGACAAAATTTCCTACAAGTATATGTGAAAACATTAAGTGGGTGATTAGTTGAACTCAGTTGTGGATAAATTTTAGGATTGGGATGAACACTTACCAACCATAACAACTTGTTGAAATTTTTTGATATTTAAGGATAATTAATAGTCTCTAAAATTTAATTACTTATTCATCAGAAAATAATCAATACAGATACAAAAAAAAAATCTTAATTTTGAAATTTTAAATATTCGTTTGTCGGCAATTTCGTATATTAGTTAGGTGGCAGGTTTGGGTAATAAAGAGGAAATTTTTTTTTTTTTAATTTCAATTCGCGTCTCTAGAAGTCTTTAGCGTGTGGGACCAAATTCCTCTGGTTGTTTGGACTCTCTCTGATCTGATCTTATGCTTTTTGATCAAAACGCATTTCACTAGTTCTACTTCTATTGGAGATCGTAGATCCTTTTTTGGCATTACGACTTCCAAATAGCTAAAAAAATTGTTATATATGTTTATTTTTCTAATCCATTTGTCGAACATATTTTGCAATGTCATGCTTTGCTTATAAACCGACAGCATATAACTATAATAATATAGTTAACATGGTATAAATAATAATTAAATGGAGACAGTTAAATTAAGGAAATAGCGTCGGGGTTTCCTTCGTCACCGACCTGATTTGAAGGCATCCGCATCAGTTTCAGACCAATGCACCGTCACAGACTCACAAGTTTTGGCTATTTATATAATTTTCAGATTATAACGCAATTGTTGAGTTATATGTTTTGTGTTTCCATTTTCGAAAAGCCCTCACTAAACACTGGGAATCTTGCATGTGTTTTTTTTCTTGATTTCAGATTTCATAATTGTTTTGTTTCGTAGAAAAGGATAAAAATATATCATAAATTTTGACAGGCCACTTCTTGCAAATATATTATCCTGAAGTTTACAAGATTGTTACTTATTATTCTACTTATTTATTGTCAAATATATAAATGATGCATTCTCACATGGTTTCTGATTTGAAAGAAATGCTTGAATGTAAGATAGAGATTGAGAGGCTTTTATGTACTTGTTTTAAATTACAACCTCTTTTGATTTTGATCTTTTTATTTTATTTTCAGTTTTGATTTTGATTCAAAATTTGTTAACAGAGTTACTAAATACTAATTAAAAAGATAAGATAGCAAAAAAAGAAGAAGCTGAAGGTAGCCCCCACTAGCAGCTCATCCTTGGCATTTTACCAACTCATATTCCGGATAAGCTCTCTCCCCATCTCCTCACATCTCTTCCGAAAACTCTCCAAAACCAAAAAAAAAAAGATATTAACTATGTCACATGAAAACTTTGAAATATCTCATCATATATCTTCTTCTTTGAAAAAGAAAAAGAAATGGCAGCTCTGGCATCAAACCCTCAAATGCTAACGAGACAAGGTCACAGTAATTACAAGAAGGAACAATTTTGGAGGAAAGAGAGTTTGAGTTTGGAGAAGAAGTGTGGGTTTTGTGTGAAGGTTTACAGTGAGAAGCTTGGGAGATCACAAATAGAGAAAGAGTGGAGATTAAAAGCCTTCTGGTCAAACGTATCACGGCCTGAGACTGTGGAGATGGAACCCATTAACGACGTTGATGAGCTCGATGCTGTTCTTTCTCACGCACGCAACCTCTCTCAGCCTATCATCATCGAGTGGTAAAGACACCAAAATCACATACTCTCTACAATCTAAATTAGATATGGGTCTATATGACTTTGGAATCTTGGACTTCTGATTTATTCTGAGTAAATTTTTGTAAGAATATTATTTTTTTCTACATTAACTAAAAAAACAAATGTAAAAGAGCACATTTTTGGGCTAGGTCATCCCAACCCTCTTTATAGGAAAAGGATGACTATTCTGATTTGGTGATCTTCATAAGTGCAGGCTGATTTCGGGGTTTTATACATCATATATATCTTTTCTGAGTTGCATTTTAGATTCACTCATGTTGACAAGACTAGTGATTTCAGATGAGATCAACAACTCAACATTAACAATTCAACATTATGTAATTTCAACCACTAACCAGTCGTTGAAGATCTAGCTATATATGTCTTCTTATGAACAATGACCAAAATATATGGGGGCAGGATGGCTTCTTGGTGCCGGAAATGTATTTACTTGAAGCCTAAGCTGGAGAAATTGGCAGCAGAATATAATAACCGGTAAGCTAATACAATGTACAATAATGTTATTGCAAAAGTCTGATTATTTTGTTGAACTGAAACGAATAAAACAGAACAAAGTTTTACTACGTGGATGTGAACAAGGTCCCTCAAACCTTGGTGAAGCGTGGCAACATTTCGGTATGATGCTTTAACAATCAAACGCATTCTCTTTTTCTATGTTTTTTTCCGCCAAATCTGAATCAGTTTCCATATTCATGTGTTATACAGAAAATGCCCACCATTCAGGTATGCTTTCTTGTTTATGAATTGTTCTGAATTTCTGAAACAAATGTTTTAACGTAAATGAAAATAAGAATAATAATGTAACGAAGAGAGAAATTGGGTGGTGAATGCAGTTATGGAAGGAAGATGAGATGAAAGAGGAAGTGATAGGAGGTCACAAAGGATGGCTTGTTATTGAAGAAGTCCGAGAATTGATCAACAAATATGTTTGATTCTTTTTTTTTATTTAGCTGTACAGTCGTTTTTATTTCCCTTTTGTTATATATTAGACATTGAGAATGGAGAAAGAGATTTTGTTAAAACAGAACTAAAAATTGATTTAAGTTTTATTTTAGCTTCAAAACAATCGGACTAAAAGTTGACATACAATACAAGTCTATATTTATGTTAATTATCTTAAACCAGCGTCTAATACCAAAACCGTCGCTTTGGCCGAGTGGTTAAGGCGTGTGCCTGCTAAGTACATGGGGTTTCCCCGCGAGAGTTCGAATCTCTCAGGCGACGTGTATTTTTTTTTTTTCATTATATATTTGTAAACCACCATTTTATTGTCTGATTGTCTCTTACTTACAGAAGAATTGAAATACGATGTGACATGTGTTTTTGTAAACGATTGCTGTAAATTTCGAGACAGTAACTCTTACCAAATCTAAAACCTAGTATGTGTGTAATCTAATGGTTGACTAACATAGATCATTGGGAATAAAGTTCAGACCTTGTGTGGATCTTAAAGAAGGTAATTGTATATATCAACCAAGTGATAAAGAAGATCAAAGGGTCACAAGACAAGACCCTCAAAAATGTTCTTCTATTTTGCTTTAAAAAGCCTTGCGGATTCAAATCGCAGTAAGCTAATGCTAATGCTCGATCTAAGGCCGTGCCCACAGAAGCTTTTAGAGAGCCCAAATTCAGAGAGCTTAGAGCCATCCGAAGCAAGAAAATACACAAATTATCAAACTAATTTTTTTTCTTATATCAACCAAAGTCATGAAAACAAATCATACAAATCAGCGAAAGCTTGAATAAAGCTTACAGAAAACACATGGTGAAAAAACAAATAATAAATAGAAAAACTAAGCTGCAGATTATCAGACTCATGGCACAAATTGAAACACAAACCTTCCCCATTTTACCAACACAAGAATCTGTTTCCCAATCCCAAACTTTTTGAAACAAGCCATTTAAAAACAATCTGTGCAAAAGACAGAATATCAATGAGGCATTCTCATAAATAAGAAACAGATTCTTCGACGCACCTAGATTCAAGAAAAAATCCTCTGCAAGCCCATGCTGCAGTCAGCGGTTAGTCAAAGTAGAGCATGTCTTCTTCTCTTGCTATTGTGGAATATGCTTTTCAACTAAACTCGATACTCTTTCAACTCTCTTTTCCTTTGGAATGCAACCGGCTGTAGAACTCAGTGAAGTCAAGCCGGAAGAAGAGGAATTTGAGATCTACAGATTGTTGAAGAGGCAGAAGGGACAGGAATCCATCGAGTGAGGATGTGTATTCCTTTGCAATACTGTCCATATCTTGACTCATGCTTTGAAGAAATTCTCCAGCACGCTGTGTTATGGCCTTCCTACCCTCACTGATCCATGAACTTGACTCTTGCGTTTTGTTTCTTTCTCGTCCTGATTCTTTAGTTCTGCAAGCAATCGGTCATATTTAAAGAATCAAATTGTGACCCTTGATACAGAGGAATATTTTCGCGTAAAGGGATAGACTCTACTTTTGATTAAATTATAACATAGATGTGAAGACAAAAATTCACCTTATCTGCAACTCGTAGATTCCTTCGTACAAACGATCTGCATGACTCCTGAACCGTAATATAAGCTCAAAGAGGACGAAAAGTGACTTGCGGATGGTCTGCGACTGTTCACCAAGCAGAGATTTTCCAACGATGGCGTTGAGGTACTTCTCATGTGCTGCCAAAAGATCATCGAGGTCTTTAGCAGCTTCCATTTCTTTTGAGAAATTAGACCATGACACCTCCAACACCTCAAACATGATGTAATACTGAAAGTTGGTGACAAAATGGTTCATTTCATTCCAAAGAACCTGGCACCGCCTCAGGGCTGAGAGAAGTTGCAACTTCACTGAAGTTTGGAGCTTAACGAATGAATTGGAAGTGATGCAATTTGGTTTCATGGTCTTCCAAATTCCGATAAGAGCATGCTCTACCCTTTTCAACTTCCAGAGAAAATTGAACACTCGCAAGTATTTGGACAAAACAGACTCAGTAAACACAGTATCTAATGGAACCCTGGCCTCATATTCCAACGAGAATACATCCCAGCCTCTGTCTCCACTGCCATGAGGCATCATTTTCACCCTCAATCTGTCTAGCATGTCACGGTCATCATACTGTGCATTAGATGCCCGTATTGCAGCTTCAAGAAACCCAGCTAGCTCAAATGAACTAATATTATTAGCTGGCTCAGAAAGCTTAGGTCCTACAATATCCATCAAGTATTGGACAAAATCACCTTGACCAAGTAGTAAATAACGCTTAATCGCAAGGCAGTGCTCCTTAAATTTATATCTCTTATATAGAACATCCAACAGATGCTTGTCGATCCTCTTTGCTGCCTCAGTAACGAGATGTTCAAGAGCATCTGTCTCACCATACCCGAGACCTCCACGCCTAGTCGTCGTCCCAGAGGCAGCAGCTGCTTCTGAAGCTGCATCAGCCCACCCGTGATCATCACAGCAAACACGAAGAAAGTTTATAGATTTCCCAGTTCTCAGAATTTTCTGAGCTAGGCTTGGTGAAATAAAAGAGGGAAGCATCCCTGGGTGGAGCTTATAACCTTCTCTCCAGAGCAAATCGACTTTCACCGGCTGACCTACGATAAAGAACTCACCAAAAGTATCTTCCAACTCCCCTTCTAGAACCCAACTTCTCACCATTTCAAACAACGGAGAACACACACATCGGAGCAAGTTCATCATAAACTCATGAACAAGCGGATCACCATGCTGTGCGTGCAAATGGATAGCCCCAGCCATCGCCCCACCTCTCAAAATTTTACACTTGTCAACCAAAACAGCCATCAGTCTCATTTTCACCATGGGCTCCGCGAACCACACCGACAATCTCCTCAGGGAAAGGTAATTGCTTGAGCTGGCTGATTCAGAAACCAAAGGAATAGGATTCATGGCCTGCGCTTCGAGCACGGCCAATAACTTATAATAATCAGAGAGCTCATCCTGCAACGCCGCACAAAACGCTTGCCCAACAGTTCCCACTTCTTCAGCTGGAAACCGATCCATACTCTCAGATATAAAAGTCTTGACTTTCCTAAACAACCAGCCAAGCTCAGAGAGCATACGGACCATGATCCTAGTAGCTCGAGGCACCTTAACATAATCCAGCACCGCATAACCATCTATTTCGCTGTTAAACTTCACGTACTTGCCATCAATGCCTTGGCTAGCGTACAAAACATCCCTAACTAGAACCTCTTCCGTGACTTCGTTCTCTTCCTTAACCAAAGTAGCATACTCTCTAAACGCAATATCCCTCAAATTTTCAGGGTCTTTACTAACTAACAGAACCCCATTACTCCAATCCTTCTTCTTAGCCTCTCCACCGCGAAGAAACCCGTTACCTAGAGACGAAGCGGCATCACCGAGCCCCAAATTGGGTAGAAGAACCGACGAATCGAGACCGTTAACAGCCGATTTACGATCATCGGAAACGATTTTGAGCAGATAGACGAGAGCCCATTTGTTGTTGACGCTGCCGGGACCAGTCTTGGAGGCGAACTTGGTGTAGAGATCGGCAAAAGCGAGGGCGTCGGAGGACTTACCTTGAGTGGCGAGGCGGCGTTTGAGGGACTCGGCGATGGCGGTGGCGTCGGGGGCGACGGAGGGAGTGAGACGGCTGGAGAGGATGCGGAAGGCGTAACGAAGGGTTTTGAGGAAGGCGGGAGAATTGGGATCGGGATTAGGGGTTTGAGGGTTTTGGGAGAGAAGACGAAGAACAAGCTCCTGCACTAGATCTGCAGCCTTCTGCTGATCGTCGTCCTCCATTAGCCCTTTTTTGCTGCTTTTTTGGTTCTTCGATCTTCACCTTTTGATTAATCCTTTTTTTTTTTTGTTCTTCTTCCAATTTTTATTGAATTTGATTTTTGAATCGAAAAGAATTGCAGAAATGTGGGCGAGTGAGTAGTGAGAGCACAGTAGAGATGGGCTCTTTTGGACTTTACTCGGCGGGCAAATGAAATCGTTGGAAACCAAAAATTTTGGGGAAAAATTAAAAAATCTCAAATTATCATTGAACCAAAAAACAAATATCCAATAGTAGAAACATATTCCTTCCTTTGTTCCATTATTAAGAAAAAATTAAACTAGTTTATGTATGTCAAAATTGAAAAGAAATCTTTCCTCTAACTATCGGTTTCTACTTTTCATTATTTAATCTTTATTCTCTTTGTTACACCCAACTGCAAAACATAAATATTTTACTCACTTATATACATTTACTATAATATATCTCTAATCACACTGAGTTAATGATTAGGCACGGTTTAGAGTTTTAGCTATATACCAGTTGGTTAGCTCTGTTTTGCATGAACTTTTATATTGTTGGTTATTGATATAGGAAATAATTTGGTGACAAACTTTTTTTAATAATATTTAGTATTTTACCAGAAATAATAATAATTTCATATATTATAACTAAATAAATAAAATGAATTAAACAACGTACAACAAAATTGTTAGATGAAAAAGGATAATTATCTTTTTGTTGCGCTAAGTCTACCATATAGATAAGATATGTTATGAAAATTACTCAACTTCGTTACACTTATCCGTGTTAAGTCATATCCACCATAATATCTGACAAGAATCCATCTTCTAATTAGGAAATTGTAAATCCATACTTACACACATACACATATATAAATACATGTACAGTATGTATACTCTTATATAACTACAATTTACGAGGATAAACAATTGAAATATGCGACTAGTGTGTTTAGTTTAGGATCAAGCTATAATCGCTTCAAAGGCAAGCGAGATTTTAGAACTAAATCCTCTTTACAATCGCAATCAACGAACTGATTAATGACAATGATACTGCTCTTAAGTGCTGCTTCTTCTACGTAATCGCACTCTCTCTCTCTCTCACAATCCTTTCTTCTCCATTCTTTTCTTTTGCATGCGATTCGGCTTTTAGCGGCGGCGATGCTACATTGATTCACTGTTGAGGTAATCACTTGCTCCATTTCCTGGCTTCACCTGAGAAAAGCTTCGACCTAACTCGCATTTTTATTTGTTTTTGTTCCAAGTGTTCGAAGCTCTTACGTAGTTGGCAAATTGGGTAAATTCTTATTCGTCCATTTTCCGTCTTCCTGCGATTGTGATTCTATGATTCGCGTGGCAATCAGTCTTACATTGTTTTCGTACCCATTTTATTTGTTTTCAAATTGTTTTCACCGAGGAATAAATTGTGAAGAAATCAGAAGCATGAAGCTTGGTGTTTTTAGGCTCTTCGGTTTCCTGAAAGTTATGAAATGATAATCCCCTGAAACTTCCCATTTCAATGTCGTCGTTCTAATTTGCTTGTAGCTCAATGTGTTTTCTTGTGGAGTGTCGTCTGTTCAATTGGCAATAGAGACCCTTGTAGGAAACAGTTTTGAGAAACTAAAATTTCATATGAGGCTTGAGTGTGATTCCAATTTGGAGTTTTTTTAGCTCATCAGAAAGTCAAGCTTAATTCTGTTTGCACAATTTCGTTCTGTACAATGTGTATATCTTTAGGAGATTAACTGATTTGTTTATTGATAAAACGTGTATTACTTGCTTCTTTTTGTTTTCAGTCTCCGGAAGTTCGAATTTTGTTTCTGATGATGGCATCTAGACAAGTATCAAATTCTAGAAAATCTGAGTTTAGCAAGTTAAAGGCTGCTGACTCCCCTGCATCTTCAACAACCTCTTCCTCAAAACCTTATCCAGAGACATCGGTGGATAGCCACAGCTCCCCTACTTCTTCATCTGCTCGAAACAAGCCTCTGTTACACTATACAGGAAGTGTACCGCATACTGCTGTGCAGTCCAAAGAAAATGTCACAGTGACAGTTCGATTTCGTCCACTCAGGTGAATGGTGATTTTCTGTATAGGATTCAAACGCTGAGTTGATGTTCATTCTGTGAAGTTGACATTGGTTTATGCTTGACATAGCCCACGAGAAATCCGCCAAGGGGAGGAGATTGCGTGGTATGCAGATGGGGAAACAATTGTGCGGAATGAGCATAATCAATCAATAGCTTATGCCTATGGTTAGTCATAACAGTCTGAATGAATAGTGTCACAAGTTTCTGTGAGCTTCATAAATGTTGTACTTAGAGCATTGCAACACTCTTGAATACCAAATGAGGTATTAAAGTGTTGTGGCATAAATTGAAGTTTCGTGCATCATGCATTAAGGCCTGAATTAAACTCACGTCAAATTTTGGTCTTGAAGCTCTGTCCTTTCGTGCAGATCGTGTTTTTGGGCCTACAACGACAACTCGCCATGTCTATGATGTTGCTGCTCAGCATGTCGTTAATGGTGCTATGAAGGGGACCAATGGTATGGGAGTAAACACTTGTTTTTTGGTTGGCAGATCTAGTTAATACTTCACTCTTGGAATAGTAAAAGATATATATATTATATCAAAGCACCAGAACCATGAATAGTTTGCATGACCATTCATTTGGGACATGAGATCTTTGAGTTGGTAGACTGTATCTAGTCCTAGTTTTAGTCTCTAGAACAATTTTTTATTTGTTTCCCATTTTGACTTTAATGTAGTGACTTTGAGTATTAATCCAACCACAGGGACCATTTTTGCATACGGAGTGACAAGCAGTGGAAAAACTCACACTATGCATGTAAGATTCACTAATCGTGATAATTCTTGCTTTTCATCTTCTTATAATAAAGAACGTATTAGGTTAGTACCTTGTACAATGTCTTGCAATGTGTCATCCAAGACAGGCTTCTCTGTCAGAGTCATTTACCTCTTCCTTTGTTTCTGGCTACATTACTGAGCTGGACACAAAACTATCAATATTAAAGGTTCAAGTTAACAGGATTATTCAAGACACCCAGAAATTCTTGTAAATGATAGACAAAATGAATAGTTTAGGAGCAAAGTTTTTTTTCTATAGTAGCCATACAAAAGGCAATGGAACTCGATGTTTAGATCCTAAATGTTCTGTTTTTTTTTGGTATTGGATATTTGGTTATTCTCCTTCTAGCTATGGTTGCTCTATTGACCCTAGAAAGCCATTCTGTTACGTGATTTAGCATTTGGCTGCACTCTTTAGGTTAGTTGATTTACACACTTTGCGACCTAGTAGAACTTTTCTCCTATGACACTTATGATGCATAACATAAGACCACTAATATCTCATGAAGATAATTTTGTTGGGTTCAAATGTCAGGGGGACCAAAGATCTCCTGGTATTATACCATTAGCCGTGAAAGATGCTTTCAGCATTATACAAGAGGTACTTCTTAGGATGTTGATTAGTCGAATTCCCTAGCCTGAGTACTAGTTACGTCATACAGTTTTTTTTTTCTTCTTGCAGACACCAAGGCGAGAATTTCTCCTACGTGTTTCTTACTTGGAAATTTATAATGAGGTGCTACTCCCTACCTGCTTTTATTCTCTCCATTTCCTATCATCAACTTCACCAGTAGTACTGAATGATAATCAGATTCTGCTTTTGATTTTTCATAATATCCTTAAGGTTCATCTTACTTCAGGTTGTCAATGATTTACTGAACCCAGTAGGACAAAATCTGAGGATCCGAGAAGATGAGCAGGTACTTGTTTCAATTTTGGATCCTCTTATTTACTTTTTTTTTTTTTCTTGGGAACAAGCTTAGTTGCTGTCTCATAACATCTTTGTTGTGACTATATTGCTCATCATAGAATCCAACCCTCGACAACATAATTTCTTTTAATCAGAGGAGACATCTTTCTGGGCTAGATGCTTGAAAGTACTAGTTCCATCTTTTTTTAAAATGAAATTCCCTGGGATCCTGCAAATACAGTGTGATTCGGGTCACATTTCTTATTCAAGTATACTAGATTTGAAGTTGCTCCTGTTAACTTTTGTATGGCCTAAGAAATTTAGAATAAACCTGACTACATATATTTCTTTGAGTGTCTTTCCCTCTAAGATTCTGCACTGAACCTCTCTTTATTACTAATTACAGGGAACCTTTATTGAAGGCATTAAAGAAGAAGTTGTGCTATCCCCTGCTCATGCGCTTTCTCTTATAGCAGCTGGAGAAGGTAGGGGCTTCCATGTTTCTCTTTAACTGAAAAGGCTTATTCTAGAAGCTAACGATTTGAGCGGGAACTGTCCCAGTCATTGTAAAAATGTGTTTTCCTCTTATGTGATGTGATATAGCAATTTTAAAGACTATTTTTCTCTTTCTTGATTCAATTAGTTTCCTTTCATTCTTAATCCTTCTCGTGAATCTAGTATTTTTCATGCAAGTCAGGTTGATAAAATTTCGTTTGTTGACAGAGCACCGACATATTGGATCCACAAGTTTTAATTTGCTCAGCAGCCGGAGCCATACAATGTTTACCCTGGTATGTTTATTTTTCTCCTTCAAAGTATGGAGAGACTTATTTCTTTATGCACTTGCTATGTCATTGCTTTCCCCCCATACAATGTTTGGCTTTCTTTCATATTTACCAGTAAAGCTATACCGTTTCTGAAAGATGTTAAAACTGGTTTGATCGCAGACCATAGAGAGTAGTCCCTTGGGTGACAATAATGAAGGTGAAGCTGTACACCTCTCGCAGCTGGTATATAGCTTTGTTTTTATCCTGTGATTTTATGTTCGGTTATATAGCCTACTTTTCTTCAATTCTGGAACATGTTCTACTCTGATAAACTTTTATTATCCCACTGTCTGAACACTTACAGATGAACAATTGATTAACTGCCCTTAATTTCGCTTATATCTGCAGAACCTCATTGACCTGGCAGGTTCCGAGAGCTCGAAGGCTGAAACCAGTGGTCTAAGGCGCAAGGAAGGGTCTTATATAAATAAAAGTTTGCTGACTTTAGGGACTGTGAGTTCTTGGTTATCACTGTTTTCCCCGAGCAACCATAGTTATTCGAAGTTTAGTTGACTTTAAGAACTTCTTAGACATTTTCTCTTGAAATAGATCCACCCATAGATTGTTTTTTTTTCTTCCTCCTTTTCAGCTCAAAACCTTGGTTGGTTCTTGCCCTTCAATCAGTATGTTAAATAATCTCCCATAAGCTGAAGTTGGATGGTTTTTTTGTAATTTTGTAGGTTATATCAAAGCTTACAGATAGGAAGGCTAGTCACGTTCCATATAGGGACTCTAAATTAACCAGGTTGCTTCAGTCCTCATTGAGTGGTCATGGACGTGTATCTGTAAGTGTTATTACATATCTTTTTTTTTTTAAAAATGCAGACACAACATGACCATAGGCAGCAGAAAACAATTGCTTTGATCGACGTAACTAATTGATTCTTCCATCTGGATATGGTAGCTCATATGTACAGTGACTCCTGCATCAAGCAGCTCCGAAGAAACACACAACACATTGAAATTTGCCCATCGTGCAAAGCATATCGAGATTCAAGCTGCACAGAACAAGGTCTTAGTTACATCTATCCTCTCAGCTCAGTTCATGTCTGCACTGAAGGTTCTTTCTTGATTTCTAACCGTATAAAAATACAGATAATTGATGAGAAATCATTAATCAAGAAGTACCAGCACGAGATTCGCCAACTCAAGGAGGAGTTGGAAGAGCTTAAACAAGGAATTAAACCAGTTTCTCAGCTAAAAGATATTAGTGAAGATAATATTGTTCTCCTGAAGCAGAAAGTATGTTTTTCTGTCACTGATTCCTGCTTAAACGTTTGCAACGGACCGGTAATACTTTACTGTGTTGCGCTTCAGTTTTGGAGACTTGAAATCTGCTTTGCGTGCTTTTCTTTTGATGTGATTATAAAAGCTAGAAGAAGAGGAAGATGCTAAAGCAGCTCTCTTGAGTCGAATCCAACGGCTGACAAAATTAATTCTCGTGTCTACTAAAACTCCACAAACATCACGGTTTTCTTATCGTGTTGACCCTCGGAGGAGACACTCATTTGGAGAAGAGGAGGTAGAATCACTTGTTTAGCCTGGACCATTTGCACATCCTTTATTTGTTCTTTCATCAGGATGTTTAAAATACTTACTAAACCATATAAAACATTAAATTTATTCCCAACAGCATGTTACCCGATTACTATTTTTTGGTTGATCTTAGTTGATAATATGCATGGCCAGCTTGCTTACCTACCATACAAGAGGCGGGACTTGATGGATGATGAGAACCTTGAATTCTATGTTTCTCGTGAAGGGAATCCTGAGATTATAGATGATGCGTTTAGAGAAGAAAAGAAGACCAGGAAGCATGGACTGCTGAATTGGTTGAAACATAAGGTACACATCTGAATGTAGAAGTTATATGGCTTTGTGACACTTTTACCGTTGGTTGTTCTTATTGAATTTAGAGCATTTCCCCCAACATCATAACCTCATATTATAGTTAGTACTGTTGCGAACAGTGTCTTGCCCCTCATATATCTGACCCTCTATGTGCTTCAAAACAATTATGCTCCTGGTGTGCATGAGATATCACACAGCCTCATTCCCCTTAGTGGATTGTCTTCTTTTTTTTTTTTTTCCTGGAGGTGCCTCTCTTGCCATTTTTTCTCTCATTACTGTTTTACTATCAGAAAAAGGACAAAAATTTGGGGGGATCAAGCATCAGCGACAAGTCCAGTGCGGTCCAGTCCAACATTACACCGTCAACTCCTCAAGGGGAAGGCAGTACTTTTCATACAGAATCAAGACTTTCAGAAGGCTCACCATTGGCTGATCAACTCTTAGAGCCTAGGGAAGATAAAGAAGCTCATGAAGACAGATCTCAGGAGATAGAGACACCTGAGGTGCATGGAGATTTTCTCACAGCTGATAGCCCATTCTGTTTCCATCAATTTGCTTTTTTTAGCTTCCTTTAGAACAACTGATCCACGATTTTAAGGCATTGTTTGCATGTTCCCAGACTAGAAGAAAAATGATCGACCAGATGGTAGTACTGAAGGAACACCAAAAGATTTTATCTGAGGAGATGGCGATACAATCAAGGTCTTTTAAACGGTTGTCAGAAGAGGCTGCAAAAGCTCCTCAAAATGAAGAAATTAAAGTAATCTTAACTTTCTGTTCATTAATCTTTATCAGAATTTTTAATCAAATTATGCATATATATACCTTCCCGGTTGTCTTTGGATTTATGCAGGCAGAGATTATTAACCTTAATGGAGACATAAAGGCAAAAAACGACCAGATTGCTAAGTTAGGGAAACAAATTTTGGATTTTGTAATGGCATCACATGATGCATTGGATAAGTCTGATATCGTGCAGGTGAATTATCCTTTACAAGCATCACACAGTGGCCTTGTGCTGCTTGTTCTGGCATTTATTGATGTTGAATTTTTCTCTTAAGTGATTTCGCTCTTTTCTTCAGGCTGTTTCTGAAATGAGGGCTCAACTAAATGAGAAATGTTTTGAACTCGAGGTACTAAAACTCTTTCTGTTTACACAGTTCTTCATCTATTGATTGATACTTCACCTAAGATGGCTTTGTTAAAACCCTGCCTTATACTTTTTCATTTTATTTACAGGTTAAAGCTGCAGATAATCGAATCATTCAGGAACAACTCAGCCAAAAGGTTTAGATAATACTTCATCTCTATCCCTAATTTTAACGTTTTTAAAAACCTTCGAAGCTAGTGTGCAGACATATCAGAGAAATCTGTAACTTATCAACTCTTTTCTGCAGACACGTGTATGTGAGTCGTTGCAAGAAGAGGTTGCAAACCTAAAGCAGCAGCTCTCTGACGCCCTGGAACTGGGAGATATCAGATCGGTCACAAGTCACATGCAACAATATTCTGAAACCCCAAACAAACATGAGGAAAAGGTCATACAAGCACAGGTGCCATATATTTCACGACTTCGTATTTGTGGAAAAAAACTTTTACTCTTCCTCTCTTATAGTTGATTTTTGGAAAACCTGAACATTTTGTTCACTGTATCTGACTGAGACATGACCAGGCATTTGAGATTGAGGAGCTTAAACTGAAAGCTGCGGAATTAAGCGACTTGAAGGAACAACTAGAACTCCGAAACAAGAAACTTGCTGAAGAGAGTTCATATGCAAAAGAGCTTGCTTCAGCGGCTGCTGTTGAGCTCAAGGCATTGTCTGAGGAAGTAGCAAGACTTATGAATCACAACGAGAGACTAGCAGCGGATTTGGCAGCAGCGCACAAGAGCTCTGTTACACCACGAGGCAAGACCGGAAGCCTGAGGAATGGAAGGAGAGAGAGTCTTATAAAACGGAAAGAGCAAGACAGCTCGTTGGTGGAACTGAAGAGAGAACTAAGGATGAGCAAGGAACGTGAAGTTTCATTTGAAGCTGCTCTTGTTGAGAAAGCTCAAAGAGAAGCCGAGCTACAAAGAATAGTAAAAGAGTCGAAACAAAGAGAAGCGTATCTAGAGAATGAACTTGCTAATATGTGGGTTCTTGTTGCCAAGTTGAGAAAATCAGAAGGAGCCAATTCAGATGTATCTGACTCAGTATCAGAGACAAGACAAATCGATCATTGATTATGATTTGAGTTGCGATAATTGATTTTGAGATTCGTGATTTTGAGTTTGGGCATTGGTTTGAAAATCTAATTTCCTTCTGGAGGGCTTGACTTCTTTTGTTTGTTTGTTGATAATACTGCTGTAAAGGATACTTCCTAAAGGCAAATAAAATCTCTCTTGTGCAAACCAGATCATATTTGAATCTTCTAACTTGCATTTGCTAGGAAAAATTCTCTTTATGTCCTATAATCAATATAAACAAAAGGCAAAGCAAGTTCAACAAGAAGCCTAGTTGCAATGAGTGATTTTCAGTACATGTATATGAATAGACATCTATATGTTCATCACTAGATTGGCTTCAAAACTCCCTTGTAAATCCTTTCCAGCATTTAAGACTTTTAAGCTGACCAGTTTACCATTATAACTGAACCCTGGTCATATATATACACAAGTTCTATGGTGCAAAGATTCAATCCCTCACTAGTCTTACATTTTCTGCGACGCTGGTTGCTGATGACATGACCTGAGCGGCTCAGGCTGAACCTCTCTGTAAAACTACCAAATTACATTAAATAAAAAACCTATCCATGTATACTCTTACTCTCATTCTCTTGCTATCTGTATCGTTCAACAACCTCTCATTTCAATAATTCAATCTCCAAACAATCCATATGCATGAAACCTCAAGCTTGGTGCACAAATGAGCACAAAGATCCCGATTGTATTTGCAGTAAAGAAAACCATATGACCTGTACCTTAAGATTGCTACGACATCTAAGCCTTAATGAGGAGCAGAGATTATGTAATGCTTGTGTACAAGCAAACGGAATCAAAACCGGAAACTTAAAACTTGGAACTTTGAATCAAATTCGTTACATTTCAGCTAAAAAAACCACTAAATCAGCATTGAAGAGCTCAGAATTCATCAAAATACAAGGCGACAATTATGCATCATCAGATCAGACCTGAATCAATCCGTCTTTGGATCCGGCATGGGGAACAACCCACCAGCACCAGCAGCTCCTCTCGGCGGAGAGAAGCCTAAGAACTTCTGGAGATTGGTCCTTATGCTGATGGAACACAGCAGATAAAGAAAAGCCATGGAGCAATCCGTTGAATCTTCGCCTTTCAGTCCCCTGTGCGACATCTTCCTCACAATCGTGATCGGGTGGAAAGGAAGCTTCGCGACGACTTTCCCTTCGAAGAGCGAGTTCAACAATCCGAAGACGACAAAGAGCACGAGGGCCACAACGGCGCCGGATTTAAACTTGAAGAGCGACAGATCCCGCCTCGATTCCTTGAGGCTCGTCTCCACGCGATCGATCTTCTTCGTCTTCGACTTCTTCATGTTTAGCTTCGAGGAAGGGTTATCCGTCTTCATCGTTTCGAGCTTCTTGGAGGCCTTGTCAATGGAGGATTTCAGGGATTTGTAGGAGTTCGTGCGGTAGATTAGGATCCACGAGATTGCTTCGCATACCAGCGCCGTGCAGAAGGAGATTCCGACGACGGTGAGACTATCGGCGTACTTGAAAGAGGCGAAGAGCGGAATCTCGGTCGCCATTGCGCAGACACGGACCTGATTTCGTCTCTCTCTCTCTCTCTCCGCTCTTCTCTACCAGCAAAATCTGAAGCTCAGAGATTTTTGATATTTGATATTTGAAAAATCGCATCTTAAAATACTCTAGTTTGATTTTGACGAAACTTAAAATACTTGTTGTTTTGGTTTGGCAGAAAACGGCATAACATGCAATATTGATTCTCTTTTCTCTCTCTCGGCGCACGTGTAATAATATCATTGGTTCTATATTGCAAAGCGTGACGCCACGCGCTTGAAAATGTAAAAATATTATCCCACTCGCACCTCGTGCGCGTTGCGCGCGTTAGGCCAAAATCGAAAGGTTAACAACCCCCTTTCAATTTTGCTTGTATTTTGCCAAAACGCGGTCCTGCGTTTTATTTGTTAGTCGATTGTCGTTTTGGTGTTAATTTAGTGAAAATAGTAGCATTGCTCCTAGCTCTACTTATTGACATCAATTTATGTTATTTGCGTTTTGCTTGTTATCCATTGCCGTTTTGCATTAAGTCTTTTTTTTTTTTTTTTCTCATTCTGGGTCGAAGCAAGCTACAGTATTCGCCTTTTCGCATCCATGGCCTTGTCTTCATTGTTGGCTCGCTCTCGTTTCTCCTCCAAAACTGAGCCGTGCTCACCTTGTGTTTAAAAAGGCGGCTGCCTTAGGCCACCATGATATATCTAAATTTTGTGGTATGAATTTTAAATTTTAGTTAGAAATAAGCTATTGTGTATATGTAAATAGTATCTCTTTTATTAGTTTTTCATTGATGATTTTCTATAAACATAGTGAAGTTAGGCTTAAATCGTTTCTATGTTTAGTCATTATTAGTTTTCACATATAAAATTTACATTACTTATCCAAAGTTGATTTTCTTTTGATTATGTTTTCTATTACTGTTTTTTTCCTTCTCGTACATTATTTTTCATATATAATTCATATAATTCATTTTATTTTATATTTTTCGTTTTTAAAAAAATACAATTTGATCAACACAGATGTTATAAATGACACATTTACATACTCTTGTAATAATATCTTTTAATATTGAAATTTTATTTGATATAGTAAACTGTATAGTTTGTTCCTAGACTGAAAATATTGAATATAGTATTTTTATAATATTGGATGTATTTTACTAGGTGTTTCATGTTTTTATCAACATTTTTTTGTATAGAAGCCACATTTTTAAATTTCGCCTTTAAGCCCCTTCAAACCTAGACACGGCACTGCCAAAACTGTTTCCGGAAGTTACATTCGACGGCGAAGACAGCTGATGACTTGACCGCAGTTTCTACGGAGAAGGGTCGCCGGAATTGGTGGTCGAGCTCTGCTCTTGTCCCGTTGGCGATGGCAGCTTTCTATCAGCGAATCATCAGCTAGGTTCGTGTTCATTTTTTTTTTCCTTCTCCAAAAGTCTTCACATTTATTTGATAGCTCGTTTCTATTTCCCTGCAGAGATATAAATATTGGCGGAAAAGATAGCACTGAACTTGTAGTCAAAGGGGAATACAATGAGGTTCCTAAGGAGCTTATTACCGAATTGAAAATAATCCTCGATGTGCTGCAAAAAAATTTTGAATTTGTTTTCTTTATTCATGTTTTGGGCAATTTCTATCTTGAAATTTCTGATTTTTCGAGCTTATTCATTAACAACTTCACTTCATATTATCTGCAAAAACTGCATTTTCATCATTAGGAAATGGTTTGTTCTGAATTCAGCTGCCTGACTATTTCCTTGTGTGTTAAGGTTAACTTGACAACGGACTACGATGAGAGGTACTTCCATGGAAAGCCTCAGAACAGTTTTCACAAGTCAGTAAACATTCCTGATGTTGTTGTTTTCCCGAGGTCACACTTCTCTCTTGTGCATTGTTTTCTTTTTTGCCATCCTGATTTGTTGGCTTCAATGAAGCCACTCCCTGCTCTTGAGCAAAAAAATAATTCAAGCAGCATTTACCCTTTGGTTAGGTTCCTATAGTAACATATGGTGGTGCAACATCGATCGAAGGTCACACCTTGGCTCCTAAAGGAGGTGTATGCATTGACATGTCATTAATGAAGGTATTCCACTCGTTTTTAATCTGACACCGGCTTTCTATATTTTCAATTAAAATCATGTCACTTTTGTGTCATGCAGTAAACAGAATATGGTGTTTCATTCCAAGAATTAGTAGTTTCACAAAGTCTATGTTCGAACCTGCTTATGTTTGTAAAGGAAGATAATTAGAAAACATGTTTCTCGTTTAGTTTGGCATGACGGGACTACTATCATTTTTCCTGCTGACATGACTTGTCTTTATCATTTTCTTACATTTAATCTTACAGTGTGCGTGTAGATGTTATTGAAATTATGTTTTTGTGGCATCGAGCTCTTCTTATGTCTGATTGTCCTGAATCTTGTATCTGAGCTTTGCAGAGGAAATTGGGAAGAGCTTTTGGTCGCGGGTCATGGTGAGGATAACGAAGATGGTGAAGATAATGAAGATAGGGGAAGCTGAAGAGGATGCAGAGCCTGATGCTTCAACTTCTGGTAATATTTCTTAATCACACTTGTTTTCAATATCAAGAAATTTCACATTTTTGTCTGTGAGAGAGAGTTCTATATCGTACAATGGTTGATAGTTTGTTGCCGTAACGTGAGAACCGATTGATTTGAATCGACAAGTTGCAGTATAAGCATCATTGACTGTCCCTTTTTCTCCATTGAATGCTTTTGCCTTATCATGAGTTTTGCTTTGACTAGCCGTGTTCTGATATTTGCTGTGTTTCTTTGTGGATGAAAGGAACGACAATGTATGATACAGGGGAGCTAAAAGTAACAGTGACAACAAGCGAGATATCTCGAGAAGAGGATGAGCCTGTTCGCAAGGAAAAGACCCAATCAACAGAATTAGGTTCCACGGCCAAAGCTTCCACAAAACAGCTTGTGCCTGTGAGGAAAACCAAACCCTCGAAGCAGAACAGGAAGCACAAGTCAAGTATCAAAACTATGAAGAAAAGAGATAAAAGAAACAAGTAAGAGGAATCAAGTCTTCGCGGCAGCTATAGAGATCTAAAAAACTCATCTTGAAATACTCTAGTTTTGATTTTGACGAAACTTAAAATACTCGTCGCTTTGGTTTAGCTCAAAACGGCATAACATGCAATATTGAAAATAGTAAAACGAGACCATTTTTACATTTAAAGTTTTTTTTCTTCCCTCAAATTTAAAGGGCTTGTGATTTGTTGATTTTGACTGATATATAGAAGTTTGGAACTAGAAAAAGAGATAAAGACAAGACTTTCTATCTGTCAGCTCGTAACCTCGGTTGTAGCTAGATAACAGTTTCAAGTTCGACTAGGTTTTGGATTTCATTTTTTGGCTGAATTGTTAACTAAGGTAATTTTCAGTCTTTTTAGATCGATGTTCGTTTTGTATATTTTTTTCCTGCTTTGGATTTTTTTTTTTTAAATCATAAAAAGATTTGTTCGAATGGCAAGATTTCCTGACAAGACAAAATAGGGATTCTTCGTCCTTAGATAATAAACCACCTACGAGAAAAAAATGTAATAATTTTCATGTTATAATATAGTACATAGAATCTAAGGACTTATTTTATGTTACACCCAAAAGGCCAAAAGTAATGTAGAAATGGTAAGCCAAATAAATAAAAAAGAGACATCGATCATTTTCTTGGGCTATATTTAGGTCATAAAATTTTGTTATCATTGTCCTTTTGCATTCCACATTATTTAATTTTTAGAGGGGTTTTGAATGAATGTGTGGGACATGAAGTTACGTTTTGTTTATTATGAAACGTTTCCATTGTACTTTGTACAACCGAAAGTTAGATTGAAATTAAAAATAGATATAGGACGATACATGTACCCACCACCACGGTCTTTTCTCACATCAGACATCAATAATTTGATTTATACATATTAACTATAGCTAGGATCTGATGTTTAGTTTCCTCGAATAATCAATCATAGACTGACTCAATAGAATACATTATTCTAGTTAAGCTTCTCAGTTCATACGTAACTAGAATTGGAAACGCGCGCGTCTTATTGTAGACTGGAGGCAAAGGAAACGTTTCATGACAGAAACTGAGTTATTAAATACTACATACAGGCGTTATATATACATCAAAGTTCCTCGCATCAATAGCACATTTTAACCCCCAAAAAAAAAAAAAGAACGTTTATTTGGTTTGTCTTTTGGTAGACTGGAGGCAAAAATAAGAAAGATAATTTTAAATATGTTCAAGTTAAACTTAGTGGTGATGTATTACTTGGGGACCCTTTAGCGATTCGATTTAGATTTGAGAGTTATTGTTATTGGCGTGGACATTCCAGAACCAAGCAATACATATTTTTCAAATCAAATCAACTAGATGCATCATGCATGTTGCCAAAATTGAAGAAATTAAGATGAAAAGACTCAACCTAACAAATATATATGTTATTGAATTTTCGATTTTTTAACTAATTTTAGCAATACTTTTTTTTTCAAAGAGAGAATTTTTAAATAAAGTGGTTTGTTGGCTGAAAAGAAAGGTGCAAAGTTAACAATGTATGTATTTGGGTGATACACGGGTTGTATAGTAAAAATATGAAAATAAATCAGTGTTCAGATTAATTAAGATAAAATTAGTATATTCATATTCTTTTTAAAATATCCTCAATCATTTTTTAAAAAATATTTCAAATCTCAGAAACATATATGAAGTGGCACTCAGTATTACTCGGTTTAGCTTAAAGCTTCATGAGTTATTGCAACACGTACGTTCTAGTTCTATTACAAGCTCACCGTTGAGAGTTCTTTATTTCATCTGCATGAACTAGTTTAACCGTAGAATATGATGTCTATAAGGGGATTAACTATTATACGTAAGCAAAACAAAAAAAAAACTATTAAAATTAAAAGAAAAAAAAAACTAAAGATTTTCAAAAAGGAACTAGAGGCGTAAATCCAAACTCACGTGGTCCGGCACATTCGTCTTGGACTCGTAAAATAAGTCATGCCTGTTCTTACCACCACCAACATACCTCGGTCTACTCCGGTGATCTCCGATGAACAGATGCGTATATCTATTGTAAGACGAAGGGTAAGGATTAAATCTTGATGATGAGTTATACCTACTCCAAAACCCTAATCTAGCTCCATTGATGCGAGGAGCTTCAAGGCTAAAATGATCCTCGTAGAACCTAGAAGCAGCAACGTGGTCATGGTGGCGGTGGAAGAAAGCGGCTGCGTTTGGATGGAGGTGGAAGCGTTTGGTTTGTTGACGCTCTCTCTTGTGAGCGTTTTGATGGCCACCTAGGGCTTGTGAAGTAGGGAAGTTCCGGCAACAGTAGTGGCACTTGAATCTCTTGTCTTTGTCATTGTTATGATCGATACTACTTTCGTTGATGGTTTTACTGTCCTCGTAGTAATTGTCTTTGTAGTCAGATTCTTGATGAGAAGTTCCAAACTCGAAGCCAAAGAGGCGAATGGGTCTTTCCTTTGGGGAGAGAGAGTCGACTTTCATGAAGTCATATATCTTCATTTTGATATGGTGAGGGTGGTGACTTTGGAGGCTAAGAAGAGAGAAGAGAGAAAATTGGCTGAGTCATGTGTTTGGTAGTTGTCTAAGTGCGAAGTCAAGTGCATACTCTGGCTTTGTATGTTAAATTTGCAACTTACAAGTACGGTCTTCTCTATGTCTCTCGCATTTAATTCCCGATGGGGTATATATCTGTAAAGGACATTGAGTAAATACGTATATATAAAAGCACATTTGGTTTGTAGTACTAGTATCCATATGTTTTCTTAATTTCTTCTACCTACGTTATTTTTAATTTGCTACGTCTTGTATAGGTTGATATTGATTAGCCAGAGAAGGAAAAAAAAAAGAGTCTAAACTATATATTTGATGATCATGATACAAAAAATTTAATGATATTATATGTTATACCGTACGTCGTTATATATAGTCTTGAAAATAAAGAATTCAGCAGAAATATAAAATTAATAAATGTATTTAATTGATGGCTATTTTGACGGATTAAAACCGTTGCTAATTGGTTATTTCTTAACAGTGATTTGAGTGGCTAATATAACTCGAATTCGATATTGTGTTGATGATAATTTCTACCCGTTGAACTACCATCACTGTTATGTCAAGTCAATGTTTTTATGAAGAGATTTAGTACATTTATTTGATGTCAAGATTAGATATATATATATCTTCAAGGTTACTATTTCTATTTTAAATAGTGATAGCTCAAGACATTGATGGCCTATGAGGCCATGCCTTAAATCTTCCCTCGTGATCTAAGTACAACATTTTTCTTATGGTCATTAACAGCCATGAATTAACATATGTATAGAGTACAGTTCTTTTCAGGTGGATCCCTCAAATTAATATAGTTAGATGGTAAAGTGTGATATGTCACATCTTTGTTTCCTCACCTGCACGATTCTTAATTTTAGTTTGCATTTTTGTTTTTGCGTTTACGAGTACGCTGGTGTTAAAACTTTCTTTATGATTAGTGTTGCTTTCCATGACAAATAGTGAGATAATGTAAGTACATTTATATAGTTTGGTCGGTCTAGATTAAACGCCATTGATAAAAGCGACTTAATCGTCTTCTCTCGCTTATTACATTAGATAAATGAAAAGTGAAGATGAGCAGAGAGGAAAGAGTTACTGATCAGTCCCCGGACTGGCATCGTAAGCAGTTGCAGCAGAAGCCAAAGCCTTGAGAGAGTAGTGTTTGTCGAGCCTCATATCCCATGCTTGCATCTATATAACATATCCGAAGCTCTTCACCTGCAAATATGCAGTTTTACCATTGAAGTGAGATACCCGCAAGATTGAGACTCATGTTAACTATCTAGAAGTTTCTGTTTTAGGATCAAAAAGACCATACCTTCTTCGACATCGCGAAGAGTCATCAACCTTGCATCTGCATTCTGCAACCATAATATGTGTGCATTGGGATCTGTGCATGCACATTCAAACTAGTTATCACTTTCTTTTTCATAAACAGGTGAAATCAACAAAGAAAAGAACAAATTAAATATTATTACCACAGTCATGATTGTAGAAGGATGGCAGCATATAAACGGCATGGCCAACTGCACCTTCACCTTCCACAGAGGCTGCAGCCAGTGAAAGAAGGTCTTCGCCACATGAGCCTCCAACCAAATCAATACGAAATGCATTGATACGAATCCGGGCCAGAACAGCCGTATACCACTGTTTAGTTAAAACTTTTCTCAGAAGTTAAGGGCTATAAAACAGCAGAGAGATGAAAACAAGAGCAGTGGAAATAGAATGGATTTGAAGTAAAAAATTAGCTCCAAGGATACAAGCAACATCTTCATCCTTGAAGTTTGCCTTCCTGAATGCATTCCATAACAAACCATAACCGTCCTCTATCTGAAACAATATTAATGAACTCGTCTTGAGATTTTCTCATGGCTGTGATGAATATTACAGCGACAAGCTCAGCTCCACAATAGTGTAATGCAGGGACAAATAAACCGATTACAAGAAACTCAGGGAATGTAATCCAAAGTTCACAAAACTTATTATGTATGCAATCAGCCCTTTGTCTTTTGACTCCAAGTTTTCAAAATATATGATCAGTGTATTAATTTTTCATCCTCAATAACTCACCTTTGAAATCATCTCAGAAGTTAAAGCAGCTGGTTGAAGTATGTCAAGAGAGTCAGCGGAGAGAGCACCTGATATTATCATACAAGACAACCTCTTGACCATAAGCGGGTACTTGAAGTTTTGAGTCCTGACACAAAGATAACAGAGTGTAATCATCATTCGTGCCAATAGAACATCTTAATCGTACTACTAATACCAGAGGATAGATTTGAGGAATCATATTATAGCCTTTCGCATAAGCAAGACAGACTACTAGATATATCTTCCTCAGTTCCATTGAAACCACTATAGAGACAACAACGTATATAAGACTTTCTCAATGCGGAACTGACCTCAATAACAAACACATTCAATCCAAAATCATACGAAAAAGGCTTCATGTGGAAAAACAAAGAGCAACGTCAAGAACTTGATAATATGCTCAAATGAAAAAAAATATAAAGGAAATGAAGCTTGTATACAATAAATATATCTCTGTGCACGTATGTAAAGGCGAAGAAACCAGAAGGACAAGGTTGAGTATCATACCTACAATAATCAACAAAACTTGACCAATCAGCTCTTGTTTCGACATCATAAAACCCCTATAAATCATCAAAACAAAAATATATATGTCGTGACTCAAAAGTACAAAGGTCAAGGTTGTGATTCATCTCTAGCAGGAAAACAGATAAAACGATGCCTTTTTTTCCATTGAAGCATTTCGTCGTACACTTGGTAAGCGTTACTTCACACGGGGACAACACAGAACAAAAGCGGTAATTGGGGAAGCAATCCAATAGCATGAAAGAGAATCATACAGCATAAACAAATTAAAAATACGACCTTTGCGTTCTCTTGGCACTCTTGGCTGCAATACGAAACTCCACAATCATGAAATTTAGCAGAACCCATGAGTTTCTTGAGGCAGAGATAGCAGACGGAGTCGAGCGAAAGAAGGGAAGGGCTAGCTAAGACGGGCTTGGCCGTGTGTATAAGATCTCCAGAACCAATTCTACGAGTTGCGAAAACAGCTCGACCCGCTGACTCGGTGAGTCCGACTCGGATCGGTGGCGGCCCGGTCTGACAATCGCCGTCTCGACACGAGGCAGCAGAAGAAGACAGAAACGAAGGTCTATCCAGATATGGCAGAGGTTTAAGGCGCGAGAGGTAACGGCTATAACGAACTAAAGCAATTCGCGACATCTTCGTTGCTCAATTTTGCTCCACAATCTTCTTCTTTTTATTTCTGTCTTTTTCACATGTAGCTTCCTCTGCATTCTAGTATGAACCTCCTCTAACTTTTTTTTTTTTCCGTTGGTGATTGTGACGATGGTAATTCAGCAATTATATCCATCCAAATATAGATACGATGGTAATTCAGCAATTATATCCATCCAAATATAGATACGATGGAATTTATTTAGTGTATAACTATTTTTTTTTTTTGGTTCAAATCATTTCGTAATAACTATAAAAGCGATATATTGCTCACTGCAAGAGCGATATTCTCCCTGAAACTGAACGAGGAGTCTGGTTTTGGAAAGAGTGGCATATGCCCTTGTCAAGTGGTCACAGAAAGTTGGCGGTTGGGACATTGATGGGTCCACGGAAGGAGAAACAGATCAACTGGTATCTGGTCTGGCCCCCTCGAAAAGCTGATAAACCATTTGACACCTAATCTCGACAAGTTTGCAAAGATTATCCAACATGATGCAGTATATGTATGTTCTTCTATTCCTTGTTAGCTTCAGTGTTTCTCTACTGCTTTGGCTTTTTGGTAAGCATCTGTGAAGCGAGATTTGCAAGTTTGGATGGTGTTATCTTCCAAACAGGCAATGGATGTCATTCAGGATATCAAGATTTAAATCGTATGGAGCCAACGAAGGAGGAGCTCGAGCAAGCATTTTACCAAAGCATGTACATTTCAACAACCACCAAGAACCTCAACGTACTGCTTAAGAGGAAACAACGAACGGGTTTGGTTATGGAAAATGCCTAGTGCTCTTGCAAATTTGCATAAGGGTTTAATGTTATTGTGAATGTGCCAATAATGCTTTTGCTGCAAACAAATAAGAGCATTTTTAATGCTGAAACGTTCAATAGGTTTTTCATGGATTTTTTTATTATTAAATTTGAGAAATATAAAAATAGAAAAAGAAGGAGAGAGAAGTTAGTGAGAGAAAAAGAAGAAAGAGAAAGGAAAATTTTTTTGTCTGACCAATTAAAATCTGCCATGTATGAGAAGAAACGTGGAAAAACGTCCCCAAATAAGAGACGTCTCGGCCAAATAAGAGATGTCTTGGCCGAAACGATGCATTATTTTTAAATTAATAAATTTCTGCTAAATATCCTCTAAATATCCCATTAAAGATGTTCTAAGTTTTTATTTCATACCAAAAAAAAAAAGTTTTTATGTCTTGCTGGGTGACAGGGACTTTGTCTATATGTTTGTCTATATGTTTCTTTTAAAGCAACTCAAAAAAAAATCAAATGTCTATATATAAATTGCATCCACATTCAAAATCATCAAACTTGCTTCATATATATCTGAATTTCTTTAAGCAAACAAGTCTTAATATTCGTTTAGCAATTTTCACAAACAACATTGAAAATCTTAATAATAAGGATATCCTTACATAGTAACCCGTTATCGCATATCCTTGGAGTCTTAACTCACATTTAATTTTTGCCTCTTGATGTTGCTTTCTCTCCCACCACGTTTTCCTTCTTCTTTCTCTTTGGCCTGCAAACAAACAAACACCAAATTAATCTGACTAAGCTTAAATAATTATTTGAGTGATTTTTCTGATTATTATGCTTACCAATGAAGCAGTGCGAAAATCAAACGGATTCACTAATACATGTTGCTTGAGTTATTACCTCTCATCAATGTCTATTTCACTATTAATAGAAGCAGTCATGGTCGGCCCAAAATCATATAATGCCTAAAACGTATTTTAAAAATAATGCCCTAAATCGGTACATAAATTTTTTTTACGACATATTTTCAAAAATATATAATCAAAATAATGTAAAATATAACTAAAACATAAAAATTTTTTTGCTTAAAAGCGATTTAAAAAAAAAAAAAAGTCAACAACTTAACGTTCACACCTAAACCAAAGTGTACCGCGACCTTGCCAAACTGCATGGTTAAAAAGACAACTTAACATTTACAAAATCAACAATTTAACAAAACATAAGACAAAATACAAAATACCTTTGTGCCCAAGAAGACAAGTGTATCAATCAAAGATTTGGGCTTGGGAAGTTCGAGGGAGAATTGTGAAAAATATCCCATCAATCTTGCAGCGTCGGATTTGACGTCATAGCCAATCAAATTTTTTCCGTGGAACCTGCGGTAGGAATGAATGTGGATTTTCGAGATCCATTTTTTTCTCGAACTTTCTGTGGCTTCCTCGTATTTACTAGGTCCAAACACGCTCGTGAGTACACCAACTTTCCCAAGCATATCAGACACAAGCATGAGCCCTCCGAACTGCAGAAACCCAGATCTTCTTTGAATTCAAGGTAAGCAATTCTTCTGTCGCTCATGTTTTAGATCTGAGAAATTATAGTTTTTTTTCTAGGTTTGATAGTGGCGGAGAAAACTTAAAAGAAGAGGCGGACAATTTATTAAATAAGATTAGTTAAGGAGGAGGCAGGAACATACTAGAATTATTGTTTAAAAAGGGCCCCATAAAGTTTAAATTGATGCAAAAACACCCTTCTACGGTTTGATATTACAATTTTTTTTGTCTCTTATCTATCTAAGAATAATAAGCTGTGAAATGCTGTTTTTGACCGTCTTGGTGGTAAAACTCCATCTTCATCTCCTTAGGAGGAATAAAGCAATCGACGGAGAGGCCAGGCACGTCGAATGCAACATCGTCTATGGTCCATCTCTCCTCCATTCGAGTCACTGAGATTCCTCCTTTGAGAGTCTCTCCAAATCTTGATATCAACACATCCGTTTTCCCCGAGTGTGCGATCACCACTTCACTACCTTCTATTGCACGGTAATCCTCCATCCACGACGACATTGAGGTCTCCCAATATGTTGGAACAGTTCCGGGTATCTGAATCCTGCATTGACGTACAAATCAAACCCTTAATTTTCTCAAACCAATAATGGTTAAAACTTTGGTAAATGCAAACCCTAAGTACCAAGCCAATATTGAAAATAGCAAATTCATTGTTGTTATGCACGTACCTAGTTAAGGAAGAGTCTTCAAGGCATACTAAGAGGCCGCTTTTCTGGCTGAAGTAACCGAAGGCGACGTGTTTGATCATCTCGGCCGTAGAGTCGCTGCGTCGTGATAAATCAATTTGGTCGGTCGATAACTTGAGAACGAAGCAATCCTTTCCGTTGATTTCTTTCTCTCCAACGAATTGTGCCGATGAAAATACTGATGATATTGTTAGAGGATCCAACCCCTAATCGTGAGTAATTCACATAAACAATCTCCATCAATAGAAGTTACATTATTCATCTGATTTTCACCAATCATAGTAATCAAATAAAGATATAAATATAAATTTGAAGATTGTTGAGATAATTTCTTATTAGAAAACATATACATGGATTTGTTATATTTTAGATTTGTTATCATATTGCTCTTTGAGACGGAACTCTGGACCACAAGTACCAAACAACAAAATAGAAAAATACCCAACGTAGACGACAATACATAAATAAGAAGTTCAAACAGAAACCTCCTTCACTCTTTATTTAGTCTGACCGATCTGAGGGTAGTAGTTTAGAATTATAAAAGTATTATTGTTAACTAGGATGTATGTACCAGTACCACTACAAGGGACCACTAACACATAATGTATTATCCCTAAACTATAAAGTTGGGTTTAAATAACTATATATCAACTTTGAATCTCTCTTCCAAATTCCAACCTTTAAATCCATTTTCTTAAGCGCGTGATAAAGTCAATTAGTAGCACGTGATTTAGGCGAAAAGAAAAATCTCAAAAGAGAGCTAAAAAAAAAGCATCCCCCAAAGTAGAAATGTTAGATCCAACAGCATCTTCTTCTTCTTTGCCTAAAGCAAACTCATTAAACAATTATATGTGTCTTCAGCTTTCAGTAGATGCATGCATGGGACCATAGAAGATGCATTTGCTATCGTATATTGAATTATATAGATCACTGATTAATTGAACATTGTATAAATAGATAACTATTAGCAATTACATTTTGAATTTTGTGCTATTTTAGGATATTTCTCTTCTATTAAGTATGCTCACACTACAATAAGTTATTTTCAGATTTCTACAAAACTGAGTCATTGTTTTTTTCTAAATTTTGAAACACTTAAGTCTAACTAACAAAATAATCCTAGTTTTTTTTTTTCTCTAAATACATAAAAGATAATTAAAATATATACTCACTTGTAGAGCACGCCGCAGAGGTCGTATAGCGCCTTTAGCAGCATGATCACCGAGCCACGGTGTATAGCGCCAAGCGATTTCTCCATCACTTCCGGCGGCAACTTTATGGCCGCCACCAACAAGTTCGATGAGCCATTTTTCCGGTAGCATTTGCCACATGACGAAGCATCCCTTATGAGATACAGACGATGCAGTACCAACCGAGGTTGAGCCATTAAGATCATTTACCATAGTCATTGTAATTTTTCCGGTCACAAAAGTGTTTTTAATTTCTCCTCCAAGTTTCTTGCATCCCGTTGCTGCAGCAAAGTGTTGTATTATGTATTGTGCTGATGATGATACCTTTAAAGGTCATAATAACTATGTGTTAGTATAAACTACATTCACATGACATTTAAGCATGGATCTTATCCTTAACCTTATATTTTCGTCTATCACTATCTTTTTCTTTTAGCAAGTTTATCATTATGTTGGACATCATATTTTTGTTTGAAAATCTGGACTTCATATATATTGTAAATAAACCACGGAGAAGAGTTTTTTTTTTCTTTTAAATAGTAAGCTTTTGAATGACAACATTTGAGACTATGATATGTACTTTTCAATCTAAATTTGGGTTCCAAAATTTATGTATCACAGTATCATCTATCACTCTTTTTAGGAACATTTCATAATAAAATGAGAGAAAAAATTATCTAATTCAGATCTGAAAAAGGAATAATTTAAAGGGTCTCCTGGAATTATGTATGGATCTAGTGATATAGGCTCTTGCATTGACTATACTTATTCTCTTTTTTACTGATTTATTTATTTTGCAATGAATATTTTTGGCTCGCTTATTATATACACCAGAGTAGTTGAATTTTGTTATGTGACATGACACTGACTTATTGTCCAGATATTTAGGCAAATACTCGGATCATGAAATCTTTTGAAAACAAAAAGGCTATAAGTAGGTGATATGTCTAGCAATAAATACATATTTAGCTAAAGAGGACTTTGGAAAAAAGAATTAAAAAACAAACATACAAACTCAAAATTTAATGTAATCCCCCTGTAATCTTTA